AATTCGAAAATCGAAAAATAAGGACCACCCTAATATATATATATATCTCTCGTAATACATATATATAAAATAATAATTTTGTAACTTTGTATTTAGATCGCTGATAAGTACGTCAGATTCTTAATTCGTGGCAAATTAGGACGTACGGTGCCTGTGATTTTAGACACAGAATTAGTTCAGTGTATTGAATTAATTTTGAAACATCGGAAGGATGCAAATGTCCCTGAAAAAAATCCATATGTGTTTGGCATACCTAGTAACAACAAGCGCTGTTTCAAATATTTAAGGGCATGTAACCTTATGCGGGATTTCTCTACAAAATGTGGTGCACAGATACCACATGCCTTGAGAGGCACTGAATTACGCAAACATATCGCTACAACGTGCATTACATTGAATTTATCTGAAAATGAAGTAGATGACTTAGCAAACTTTATGGGACATCATGAAAAGATTCATAAACGCCACTACAGACAGTCGATACCAGCAATGGAGATTATTCGTATGACAAAGTTTCTTGAAGCAGCATTAGGTGAAAATGTGTCACAGTCCAGTAATAACTCAGGTAAACGTATATGTTTTATTACTCTATGTATTTACATGATTTTTCTAAAATAAATTTTTATATTCTTCTTCCCATTTTTGTGTATTTTTTACTGTGTGTATTTACATAACAATTATCATAATATACTGTATTATTTATAATAGAAAAGATAGTACAAGATACAAATAAGGATATTTCGAGTGAGGAATCAGAAAGCGATACTGAAACATGTATGGTAAAGTTACATGAGCATTTCTCACAATCGAAAAGAAAACCTAAGACTCGCATAACGGACAGACAACAAAAGTCTGACAACAACAAAAAAGTTATACATCAAAACACAACTATAAACGATGACGATGTAAATGATGACAATGATTCTGATGAAAATATTCCAAAGAAGAAGAAACGTCGCAGTAGTAAGTTTTTATTTTATATAGTTTTAATAATTTAATAATAGTGCTTTGTCGGCTGTACACAGAACTATCGAAATCGCGTTTTCGATAGTTCTGTGTACAACCGACAACCCGTATCGGCGCGCAGTTCGAAAAAGTCGAAATAGACGCGTAGACAACATCTTTATACTGTTATTGCGACAAATATTATCATATACCTCGGTGGTCGAATTGGTGAGACGTCCGCCTAGAGAGTAAGGGAGGTCCAGGTTCAAACCCTGGCTGAGGTAATATTTCTCGCAATAAATTTTCTGTGTTAAAAACACGTTGCCAGTTATGGTCGACTATAAGCTTGATCATTGTTAATCATGTACTTAAAATAATTCTTGATGTTAATAAAATAAGTTCACACTGAATTTAACTCGCAAAACAGCGCTCAAAATTGCAGTTATATTCAGTTATATTTCGTGTAAGAAAAATATTGATTCTTTAGACTACATTGCTAAAAATATCAATTAATTACAAAATGTTGTACATGTAAAGACAAGAAGATCCTCGGGCTCTTCAGTTATCAGTTCTCATCCTTCAATTGAAGGACCTGAGCAATTAAAACTAGTTTTGGAGATTTATTGCGGTACATACATGTAAATATTTTGTCATCAGAAAATCTGTGCCTAACGGTTTAGATATATCAACTAATAAATTAAACTTATATCAATTTCTAAAAGTTTTATAATAGAAGAAATAGTACGAGATACACTACTCATAATACAAGATACCTACTCAAATTTAATTTAAATTTTTATTTATTTACACTAATATTTTAGATTACATTAAAGCTCTTTTTAAAATACTGAAGTTTTTTAAATTGACAATAAAATAACAAAAGTTGTATTTATAAAAATATGTGGAGATTGTAGAGACAATCTCTGAGAGATTAGAGAGAGTAGAGAGAGATTGTCTCTACAATCTCCACATATTTTTATAAATACAACTTTTGTTATCTTATTGTCAATTTAAAAAAACTTCAGTATTTTAAAAAAGCTTTAATGTAATCTCAAATATTAGTGTAAATAAATAAAAATTTAAATTAAATTTGAATGAGTAGACCACGTAATCATTTGTTAACTAAATTATGATGTAAGAAGTAATGTTATTAATCTTGATGATTGATTTATTTTGTAGCATCTCCATTTGGTGCCACAAAGAGAAAACGTTGGACCGAAGAAGAGCGTAATACAATATTCAAAAAATTTGAAAAGGAAATTGCCAATTCACAGTTGCCATCTACCAAGAAAATTTCTCATGTAAAAGAAAAAAATAAGTGTTTGGCCAGTCGATCTGCTGCTCAAATTAAAACATGGATTCATAATTATATAACTGGAAAAATTAAACGCCATTAATGCATAAATGTTTATTTAACACTTTCTAAGTTTATCGTTGAGAATTACTATTTTATAAAACGTAAAAATTTTATATCTAATTGTTATTAAGTACGGTAAGCCTTTACTATTTTAGTTTCAGTGTTTATTTTCGGAAGTTTATTAAATTTTTAATTACTATAATTAGTAACACTTTTTATAAACATAAGACCATGAAGCATTACCTTCATTATATGTTATTGCTACTCAAATGTTATCTAGTGATATATAAGTAATTTCTTTATAATTACATAAACTTATATATTTTCGAACTCTTTCTTGGTAAAAAGATTACACTTTAAAAATATTATAATACATTTTGTGTTTTGAGACAATTTTTGTTTGTAAATCGATTAACTCCATTCTATATAAATGTAGTTTCTTTTTAGGCAAAGATAAACGTTAATATATAAGATTTTAGAATAAACTTTTCACCTTTAAACACTTTGAATACAACTATTGCATTATATTACTCAAGTAAATATTACTACTTTACATACTTTAAATACAACTACTAAACTACAAAACTGAAATATTACTACTTTATACTTTGTACTTTGAATACAACTACTGAATTACAAAACTTAAATTACTTTACATGAACTACATTTATATATAATGTTAATAGAACATTTGTGTACATGTTACATGTATACATTACATATGACATTTTGTTAATTACTTGTACTTTCAATAAAATGAGATACCACATACATGTTACATTTAATTTCTATAAATTACTGCAAAAATGTTACATTATACTTCTAAAATATATACATATAATGAAAAACCTTGACGAATCCTATACTATAGTCGGACAAGTCCTGAAAACTGCCCTTTCACATTTTCTATGTGAAAGGGCAGTTTCCAGGACCTAACCTACTACATGGCATTCGTCAAAGGTTTTGATAATATAACACGGCCGTTTTCTGGTCGGAATTATTGTGCGTAATGAAACATTCGTTATACTGAGAAACCATGCTATATACGCACAATTATTCGAAACAGTGGTGTTATATAATGAAAACCTTTGACGAATGCCATGTAGTAGGTTAGGTCCTGGAAACTGCCCTTTTACATACAGTAGGTGAAAGGGCAGTTTTCAGGACCTAACCTACTACATGGCATTCGTCAAAGTTTTTCATTATAT